CGTCGGCAGCTCGCGTGGGCGCCCGTCCGGTAGGCCGCGCGCGACCTACGAGACGCGTCGTNTGCGTCGTCTTCGCGGTCAAAATCTCTCGAACATCGTCGCGGCCGCAGGACGCTGCGCGCGACTGGGGGTGGTCCCAGGAAAGACCCAGAGCGGCGTAGTCGATGCCCATGTCGATGGTCTGCGTCGCGAGCCGCTCCCAGGCGGCGACCTCGCCGGCGTCCAGCGTCTCCCGCGCGCGCGCCGCTAGCGCGTCGCCGACGTGCGCGCCGAGGTCGCCCATCGCCGCGGACCCGAGCAACGCGAGGCTCCAGAGGCAGCCCCGGCCCATCGACGGTCGACCTCGACTCCAGGGGGCAGCATGGCCGCCGTCGTCGCGTCGTCCGAGGCCGCCAAGGCCGCCGCCGTCGCCCAGGGCGAGGCCGCGCTCGAGGCCCAGCTCGGGAAGGCGCCGCAGGCGACGCCGCCGCACGTGGGGCGCATGGACCTCGCGGCGCTGCGCGTGCTCGTCGACTCGGACGAGCTCGAGTCCGACGAGACGACGCAGTGGGTCCAGGCGCGCGACGCGGCGCGGCGCGCCAGGGCCGACGCCGCGCGCGGCGAGGCGCCGGCCGGCGAGCCCCTCGACGACAAGGCGGCGGCGCTCGAGGCCGTGAAACGCGACGGCCTCGCGCTCGCGCGCGCGTCGGAGGACCTCCGGGCCGACGCGGACGTCGTCGCCGCGGCCGTCGCCCAGAACGGCCTCGCCCTGGCCCACGCGTCGGAGGCCCTGCGGGCGACGAAGGACGTCGTCCTCGCCGCCGTGAAGCGCGACGGCATGGCCATCCACGCGGCGTCCCTCGAGCTCCAGGCCGACTACGACGTCATCCTCGCGGGCGTCGACGGCCTCCGCAGCGAGAACACGTGAGGCGGGCGGTGGTTCGTGGGGTATGGGGGGGGGGGTCCCTGCTAACCGCGACGACGCTCCCCCTCTTACGACGCGGAGGGCGGCGGCCGCTGGCGGTCGCGCGCGGGTCCCGGGAGCGCCGGCGCGCCGCTTTGCGCCGCGTTCCAAGCCCGCGCCGCGACGCCCGCCCCGCGCCGCGGCCCGCCCCGGGCGGCGCTCACTTGTTCGTCTCGAGGTCGAAGTGGCACTCGGGACAGACGCGGCCGCTGAACAGATACTCCTTCAGATCCGTCTCGAGGAAGCAGTGCTTGCAGGGGAGCTCGACGACCTCGCGGCCGCCCTTGAGGAGCGTGTTGCTGAAGTGGCACCGCACCTTCTCGCCGTCCTCGAGCACCCGCCGCTTGAGCCGCTTCCGCGCGGCCTTGCTGAGGTACGGCGTGTCGATCTCGTACTGCACGCTCCGCTCCGTGTCCACGGGCATGGCGCGGACGCCGCGCGGGCGGGCGGCGGCGGCGCGGCGGTCGACGCAGCCCCCTTTCGGAAGGTGGATCAGGGAGCACACACACCTCGAAGCGGAGTGCACGGTTGCGTCACACAAAAAGCTGGGCCGACATGGGGATCCTCAG